TTTTTTAAATGCTTCCATGTAGCTACCTTTTAATACATTTCTAACAGAAGAAAAATTTCTCACTGTACAAAAATTAAACAGAAAACAGACCTGTGAGTGAGTCCTCAGGTGCAAACAGAGCAAGAATTTTCTGGGTCTGATCTCCACCATAAAGAGGAACAAAGCCTACATTTGACAGGCTAATAGGAACCTGAAAAGGCAATTGGTTAAAGATTAGTGTAGAGCTTTTTAAGAAAACACATCATAAATTATTCTAATTATAATACGAGAGGGTACCAAAAAAATAAATTTTTTTCAAAGCTATGTATTTAATTTTTTTTTTTTACAAAACAACATTATCACCTTCAATGTACTCTCCATTACACTTACTACATTTTTCAAATAGACAATTCCATTCTTGGAAACATTTTTCAAACTCATCTCTTTGGATGGCTGACAGCACCTCCCTCATTTTTTTCTTCACCTCTTCCATGTCATCAAATTTCTGTCCTTTCATGTCCCTCTTCATTTGTGGAAACAAAAAAAAGTTGCACTGAGCAAGGTCAGGTGAGTAAGGTTCATGGGGCTAGAGAGTCATGCTGTTTTTTGCCCAAAACTGGCTCACTGAGATGGCTATGTGAGCAGGTGCACTGTCATGGTGGCAAAACCAGCTCCCCGACTGCTACAAATCAGGTTTTCACAGCACACTGTTCTGCAGTCTTTTCAGAACCTCTAAATAGAAAGCTTGATTAACAGTCTGACTTAGTGGAACAAACCCCAAATGCACTATCCCTCTCACATCAAAAAAACAACAAATGAGCGTTGTCTTGACCTTTGATTTCACTTGATGAGCTTTCCTTGGCCAGGTGACAATGGCATCTTCCTTCCACTGGCTTGACTGATGTTTGTTTTGGGGTCATAAAAATAGCACCATCTCTCATCACCAGTGATGAAAAAGTCTGGGTCACTTTGGAGCGGTTCTTTCAAAGCACAGCATTGTTTCCACTCGACTCTTTTTTACCTGGTCAGTCAGAACCTGAGGCACAAATGTCCCAGCGACCCTTCCAAATCTTTCCATTAAAATGCACTGAGCCCCGCTCCAAGACAGTCCAGGTAACTTCCCCATCTCTTCGACGTTCCGTTGTCGGTCTTCAAGCACCACTGCACACATTTTAGAGACATTTTCATCCATTCAGGAAGTCGATGACGGACATCCAAAACAATGTTTGTCACCAATCAACATTTTACCTTTTTCAAAACTACTCGTACAATTGAGTTTTTCCTATAGCGCTGTTCTTGTAAGCTGTGTTCAACGTCACAAAATTTCAGCCACATGCTGTTGTCTGAAATTGGCCATCAAAAAATCGAGGTTTGAGCGAAATTGCCTTAATGAAAAAATTAATTGTGACCAGTGAATCTTCCCAGGCAATGCCACTGGGTGCACTAACTCAGAGCAAGTTGCTGGATGCTCACCTAGCAGGAAATGCGTACTATGTATGAAAGCTCTGCCCAGAGAGTATTTTTCCATTTGGGGGGGAGGGGAATACCCCCCTTGTACATCATTTCATGGAGGAAACTAGTTCTAATCTCTAAAACAAACCTATATAGACTTCCCTTTTCGAAGAAGAATATTATCTTGGGAAAACCCAAAAGCTTATTGCAGTAACCCTGCTGCATGTGGCCACAGGTACAAGTGAAAGAAAAGCGGCGACCTGGCCTGCGCCGTCTCCCAAAATAGCCCCACTCTGTCTCCACTTCCGCAGACTGCTGCAGGATAGACGTTTTCCTACTGACTCAATGAAAACAGGCATTTTACTCAATTATTGAAAGATGCCAATTAAAAGAATGTTTCCAGCAAGATACGTGCATACATTGTTTCTATCACTAAAACCGGTTTTTGGTGTTTGTTTGTTATTTTGCCTTCTTTAATTCAACACTAAACACCTTTTATTGACAATATTACAGTTCAGAAAATTATAAAATATTGGTGCTGGAGAAGAAATTTCTTTCAGTTCATTTTATTAGGGGCTAACACAACTCTTATCACAATCCATGCATTCATTGCCCTCATCATTCTCAAAACATTTGCTCTCCACTTAAGCCCCTGGCATCAGGTCCTCATTCCCCCCCACCCCACCCTCCCCGCTCATGCCTCTCTCATGAACCCTTGATAGTTTTTTAAATTATTGTTTTGTCATATCTTGCCCTGTCCGACGTCTCCCTTCACCCACTTTTCTGTTGTTCGTCCCCCAGGGAGGAGGTCACATGTAGATCCTTGTAATCGGTTCCCCCTTTCCAATCCACACTCCC